CTGCCTCTGCACTGACGAGAAGGGAGTTCCCCAGCCTGTAGGTATGGTGCTGGGTCTTCCTCCCCAGGTGCAGCACCTTGCACTTGTCAGTGTTGAATCCCATCCTGTTCTCATCCGCCCACCCCTGTAACCTGTCCAGATCTAGTTGCAGCCTGTCCCTCTCCTCTAGCGCGCCCACTTCTCCCCACATCTTAGTGTCATCCGCGAATTTGAACGAGGTGCTTTTCACCCTCTCGTCCAAGTCGCTGGTGAAGAAGTTGAACAGTGCGGGCCCGAGGAGAAGAAGGAGGAAGTCTGTGTTCGGCAGATGCTTCCTTTCCCGCTTCCAAGGAGCCTGAGCACACATAGTGGCCCTTTCCAGAGGGGCCCCGTTGCTAGTCCTCTTATCTCCTTGGGCCACATGGTAACTAGCCTCTGCTGCCAATGCTGAGACAAGAGCAAGGGTGTCAATGCTGTCGCTGTCCATGCTCCTGCCTTCCCTCAGTGGTGACCCTGGTGGATTCCATACAGCACATTTCATCTGAGAAGACCTTAGTCGTAAGAGCAGGTGAGGTTATCTCCAAAGCGGGTGGCTGTTGCCCAGCCCACCTTGAAGAGCCTATACTTTCTCACTTCTTTAGGAATTTCTTTTTGGTTGTTCCCCTGCTCAGAGACTTTGCTATTTAAGGCCTGGATCCTCCAGTGAGGTCAGTGCAAGTAAACCCTTAAACGCCACTGAACTCAGCAGGTCTTTGAAAAGACCCAATAATTAGATCCAACTTAAGGTTTTTTTACTCAAGCAGTAAAACTCGTTGGGACAGAGATGGTGCCATCAGCTGCATCAGCATTGAATAAAACGGCAGGGTCTGATAAATAAATAGCAGAGTTTCACTGTTCAGGGAGCAATCGGACTAGGGGAACCCATGGGCCGTCCTTTAACAACTGCTGGGGCAAACATACAGGGGCCTGTTTTCTATCTTGTTTGAGGAAAGGGAGCAGCGTGGAAGGGGATGAATGGGCACATTGGGGATCTGATTCACAGGCTTTAAGGTTCGTGTGCTCTTGCTCTCTTACAGCTTGTTCTCTGACAGACAGCAGCATCCATGATCTAAAAGACCCTCCCTGCCAAACATGAATAACTCTACGCTTGGGCAGCCAGGCCCATCGCAGGAGGACAGGCTGATTTGTTTGTTAGAAACAGATGACAGTGTCCAGGAGGACAAACCTGCAGTGGATAAGCAGAGAGAAAGAAGAGAGGCAGGTGGAAAGAAAGAAGAACTACCACCACTGGAGACTCCCTTTGAGAAGGAAAGCAAGGATTTTGCTCCTCAAATCAAGTTAAATTTGAATTATCGAGGACAACTAGCCAGCAAGTAAGTAACAGTGGGTTCTGCTTGTGGGAAATCTGTTACAAATGAAATTCAGGGTGGTGCCAGGGACTTTGCAAGAGGACGAGCAAGAATAAAAGTGCAGGAGTCCTGCCCACACCCAAACTGGGGTGGTATGAAACTAGGGCTGGGGACATATTAGCCTTTTTTCTCCAAACTCAGAGGGCCGGTCTGCCACGCACACTACCGTGCGCTGTGGATATATCCAAGAATAGCGCTAAGCAAGCTGACTCCAGTGCCACAGGCCATCTAGCCACGGCAGAAATGTGCTCTATCCAAGTTAATTTACTTTGGGTGGAGCTCCTTGCCACTGTGGCTAACCTGCTCATAGCTGACTGTTTGCTTTTCTTCAGTAGCCAAAAGGACACAAACCGCTTTGACAGGGACCGGCTTTTCGATGCAGTCTCAAAGGGCAACCCAGAGGAGCTGGATGGCTTGTTCAGTTACTTGAAGTCAACCTCCAAATTCCTAACTAATTCAGAATATACAGGTGGGTACCTGCTCAGCATGTTCTCTGCTGGTTTAACCAAGGCATTTCTTCTTAGCAGCAGTGGAGCACAAAGGCTTTGCTGCTCAGTTTGAGTCAGTGCCAGAGCAAACATCTGTAGCCCCACATCTCTCTCTTTGCCTACAATAAGCCTTTTCACCAAACCAGGGCTTTGGTCTCTGGCCCGTTTGTAGATACAAACAAGGACTGGGTACAGGCCTGGAAGGCTAGATTCTGTGCCCAGCTGTGCTGCTGAGCCAGTATGTGACTTTGAGCGAGTCATTTCTTCGCTCTCTGCCTGATACATACCCACCTGTCTCCATGGCTGCTCTCTGGCTGAAAGGTGCTCATGGCATTTTCTTCCAAGCCCCAGCTCCTAGTGGAGATGCTGCAAGAAAGGCGTTTAAATGCTTTGCTAAGGACTGAGTTCTGGGCAAAAGGAAACCAGTGGTGCAGCCATGTACAAAACACCCGCATGCCTCCTCCATGCTCTTTTTCAGATGCAAAGACAGGGAAGACCTGCTTGATGAAAGCCCTGCTGAATTTAAAACATGGGAAGAATGACACTATCCCAGTTTTACTGAAAATAGATGAGGACAGAGGATGCAGACCGCCTCAAAAGATGCTCATCAATGCTGCATGTACGGATAATTATTATAAAGGTAAGGTATTTGCAAGAGCATGTTTCTAACCTTGTGGTCAAAAGACAGACAGGCACCAGTGTCCAACCTGCACCTGCAAGCCATTAAAAAAGATAGTGTTTTCTACCTGTTTGATGCAGCCAGTTATGCCTGGGAGTCCACAGTTATCTCAGGTGGGCCTGGGAGTCCAAAGAATAGAGGACACTGCTGTTGTCATTTGGGTACTTTTGTGGGGGTCTGGTCATGACATCTCTGTGATCTGCTCTTTGCAATGCCATCTTCCTTAGGGCAGACAGCACTCCACATTGCCATAGAGAAGAGGCAACTGGAACTAGTGAAGCTCCTGGTAGAGAAGGGAGCTGATGTCCATGCCAGGGCCCATGGCACGTTCTTCCAGAAGAAAAAGGGAATTTGCTTTTATTTCGGTAAGCCAGCACTAGCGGCTTCAGTTCGCTGTCCTGCAGTACGTGGGGTCCCTGAAACTAGCTGGGCTTGCCTTTGCAGGTATTGTGTGTAATCTCTATCCAACAACCCAGGAGATCCCAACATGTGTGAGTGGCTACAGCTCTAAAAGTCAAAGCTCCCCTCTAGCCAACTGCTGCTTGCCACCTGGTGTTTGATTGTGCGTACTCTACCCTAACCAGGGGGCTTTAAAATGCAGTCTCATCTGCAACCGAGTGCGACAATGAAGTAAATAGAGGCAGTGGATCCCGCCTCATGCAACAAATGCCCCTATCTGAATTCAGAGGTCTTGTGAGGAAAACCCCCAAGCTGTTACCACAACAAAACTGCAGATGATAAGTACATTGTTGTCTTAAAACGGATTACTTTTTCCTCAACCTGGCCCCGATCTTTCCAGGTGAACTTCCCCTCTCCTTGGCTGCTTGCACCAACCAGCTCAACGTAGTCCAGTATCTCCTGGAGAACCCCCACAACAGAGCCAGTCTCCAGGAAAAGGATTCTCTGGGCAACACAGTTCTCCATGCCTTGGTGATGATAGCAGATGACACCCAGGAGAACACAGAGTTTGTGAGCAAGATGTATGATGAGATCTTAAGGGCAGGTGTGAAGATTGTCCCAACACAGAAGCTGGAAGAGGCAGTGAATTGTGATGGGTTAACACCACTGCAGCTGGCTGCCAAGGGTGGCAAAGTAGAGGTAAACACAACTTAGAGGGGTTTTCTAGGTGTGGTGAGCAGCAGAGAGGACAGCGGACTGCATTCCCTGCCCAGTGGCTGGGCTTCATGTAGGTGCATCCTACATTTTACTGCATGAGAGACTCCTCAGTGAGATCCTTTTGCCCCACAGGCAGCAGCCTCACCACAGGAGGCATCAAGGAAACCTCCTGCAGCTCATCCCATCTGGAGCTGTGTATTGTGATTGCAATTGGGTGCTGACGCTCTGAGTCTGAGTGGAGCAGGGGCTGGGCTGAGTTTTGCATGAGCTGTGCTTTGGTTGGATCATATAGCAATTGGGCACAATGATACTGGCAAAGCATACTGTGAGAGAAACAGGGCCATGGGGGTTTGAGGCAGCTCGGGGATTTGGGGGAGGTCATCCTGCTTCTCTGTGGTTATCTGCACAATAAACACAAAGTTTCCCTCTAGATCTTCAAACACATTCTTCAAAGAGAAATTAAGGAGCCGGAGTACCAGCACCTGTCACGCAAGTTCACTGAATGGACCTACGGCCCCATCCAGGTGTCTCTTTATGACCTGTCCTCAATTGATAACTGTAAGAATTCGGTGCTGGAGATCCTGGCCTACAGCAGCGACACACCGGTGAGTGCTGACACCACCTGCTCTAAAACCAAGCCGTTTTGCCTGGTTATTTATTATAGTGTCGCCACGTAGCTATGTCAACTACGTACAGTTAACAGGGTCTTTCAGACCTAAAGAAAATTACATTCGCCTACATGTTTCATAGTTTCATAGTTAGTAGGGTCGGAAGGGACCTGAGCCAGATCATCAAGTCCGACCCCCTGCCATGTAATATTAATGTTGTGTTTCAGACCATTTGCTTGTAGAGAAATAGTTTCATAGTTGAGCATGCAGATCTGTACATTACTAATGATGTGAAATTAGCATATATTGTTGGCTGTTAAACATCTTAATGCTTTCAGACAATGTGCTTTAAGGAAGGCATTTTGGATCTTTCTGTCTTTGTCCCTGCCATGGGACCAGTGCCTTAGTCTGGATCTTTCTATGGGCCTTGACAGGGCTACGTCAGACAAGGCAGTTCTCCCATCACCAGTAAGATGCCTGGCTCATTTCATGCTGAGATGTACAATTAAACAGACATGCTGGGATCCCCTAATTCTGGCCATTGAATTCCACCACTGGACCAAGAAGGCTTTATGGTGATTCTGGATTCATGCTGTTGTGTTTATTTTCCCGTGCCAGAATCGATACAAAATGGTGGTTTTGGAACCACTGAACAGACTGATTCAGCACAAATGGGACACTTTTGCTGCCAGGAGATTTTACTTGAGTTTTTTTTCTTATTTGACGTTCATGGTCATCTTCTCAGTCTTTGCCTACCATTGTCCCCTGCAGGCGCAGGTGAGTCGGGCTCGCTTTGATGGGGTGGAATAGAAGAGTGCTGGGGCGACGGTGGTTACAGCGCTGACTGCCGTTCTCACAGTGTTGCTTGAACCTTGCAGCCTCTGTTCCCAAAGGAGTTCAATGCTGAAGGCTTCCTGTGGCTCACTGGACTGATCATTATGTTTCTGGGAGGCATTTACTTCTCAATTGCTCAGGTATGGAGACACATAGCCTGATTACTCTCTCCTGAAGGGCCCATCATCCTGATGTTGGTGCACCCGTCTATTTCCATGATACCATGTGGGTGCGCAACACTTCACAGACCAATGGCAGGACAGCTTCTTCCATGAGATGCTTCTCAGATGAGTTGGGTGCAGGACAGCAAAGGACACCATGAACAAGAATTTTGGAGACAATTAGGGAGAGGGTCAGAGCAGCAAAAGATCATGAGATACTTTTGGGATGTGCAGTGGTACAATACTGAATATTACTAGATACATTCTTTACAAAAAACACGAGGGAGCTGTGGCTCAGCTTCTCACTCTGTATTTGCTTTGAAGGGGGATTATCTGGATTGTTGGGCTACTGGAACAAATGATTTAGAAGAAAAGGCTGTGAACAAGCCTTTGCTTCCTGTGCAGTGTGTTGTCCCAGGCAGGGATTGAATTCAAGTATTCCCTCCTGCTATAAAAACTGTCCCTCTTGATTTTTTTTCTTTCCAATAGAGTCGGTACTTGTGGAGGAGGCAATTCTCTCTGAGGACCATCTTCTCTGATGATTGCATTGAGATCTTGCTGTAGGTTTCTTCTTGTCTTGGGGAAACTGGAAGCAGGCGTTAAATCAGTTCTGTGTTGAGTGCAGTAGGCAGGTGGTGACCAGAGGCAACTGCTTCTCACACCTTTACTTCCACTCCAGTCCTATTTTGCCTTTTCTACCTGTTGTCGTACTCCAACACTGTCACATCTCTGGGGCTGGGACTGCACAAACTGAAGGTGACAATGCCTGACACGATGGAGCTCTGACCCTTCCCTGGAGCCTCTCAGTGTTACTGTAAAGCAAATAATAGTAAATTACAACAATGTGAGATTGTACGTGGAACTGGGCAGTCATGGCAGCTGAGACTTGACTGGGGGGGTATAGTTTCCCTGGGTTTGTATGTCTTTCAGTCTGTATGTGACAGGTCCAGTATCACACCAGTAACATGTGTGTAACTCCCCTTGTAGAAAAGAAGGGCCAGGTGTAGGGTGTCTGAGATTTTCCCATAACGTAAGATGGGCAAATGCACAACAGATCTGCCACACACTTGTGCATGAAGTAGCTTACATGTAGGTTTGGTCAGAACACACTTTTGATCCTCTGTCCCATTATGCAACCTTTGACAATGTGGCTGGGCACCCCCTGTAGCACTAAAAGGATTTGGATCTGAGGCTTTCAGTCCATTTTGTAATGCTCTTTTTCCTCCTCCCCAACCTCCCTCCACCCAGCTTGCTTCAAGGACTCTTGCTGCTGCTTTCATTAGTTCTATACTTGATGAGTTTGGAGTACTACACCCCATTGATGGTTTCCTCTTTGCTGCTGGGATGGGTGAACATGCTGTACTACACTCGGGGCTTCCAGTGCACTGGGATGTACAGTGTCATGATACAGAAGGTCAGTGCAAAGAGACAGTCTGCATCAGTGGCTTGCAGGTGTGAGGTATTCATACAAATGCTGCTGTTATATTTCTTTGCATCAAAGCCATGAAAGGAGGAAATGCTGTAGCTCTGCAAATGAAAACTGCCTTTGGGATGAGACTAGATCCATCTCTCTGGGCAGCTGGGATGCTGCACTGAGACAGACCTGTTGGCTTTGCACCTCTTATGCAGCTGGGTTTCAAATGCTGGCTCAGGGCAAAAGAAAGAATGAGTTTGTTTGGGGCTCATAGCTGATGCTGCCCTGCCTATCACAGAAATAGCATCTCTCTTCAGAAGACCTTTCTTATCATTGGTAAGTCTTTGTAGAGGCTTATAGGCATACTCCAGCGTAGAGCCCAGTGCTAGAAAGCGAGGGGTGCTCTAAAGCAGAGCCAAGGTGCGCTAGCAGACCTCTGTTCACGCGTCTGAGTGTGCGAGAAGGCAGAGTGGACTGGGTAGTCAGACGTGTAGCAGCAGTCCTGGACAGAATTACATAGGGTGTTTGCATGGGATCTGACTGGTTCAAGCTAGCCTTCTTCATGAGAATGACTTCTTCTCAAAAATCACAACACAGCTTTATTTGACCCAGTTTCCCTGTCCCTTCATCAGTGCCGTCTCCGTCCGGCGGGGTCTGGGGTGAGACATTCCTGAGTTTCAGTCCGCTATTCAAAGCTTGCTGTGTGGATTTAGCAGGTGTATCAGAACTTGTTCACCTGTTAAAAGGGGGAAACGAGACTTCCTGCCTTCCCTGTTAGCATTAACGAGGTGACATAGCCAGAGCAGATATCATTGTCTGGTGGGCTTGCAAACACTCTGCCACAGCAGCTTTGTGCTACATTAAATGTGAGGAATGGGGGTGGAGGGTTAATGATGCTGCCCCTGCTCTATGTTCCAGACCATCCTGAGGGATCTGCTGCGCTTCCTCCTGGTGTACGGGCTCTTCCTCTTTGGCTTTGTGGCAGGTATGGATTCACTTGGCACCATGTCACTGGCAGCATGGGGGCAAGCAGGCTTTCCCTGGGTGACTCTGGGTTCTGCTTTCACTTCAGCTCTAGTCACTCTCACGGGGGAGCCCCCGCCAACTGCCCAGAACAAATCTGTTACCCAGGCGGAGGAGGACAGAGGCCGCTTTGTGTACGGCAGGCTGTTTACCACCTCCCTGGAGCTCTTCAAGTTCACCATTGGCATGGGGGACCTGGAGTTCCAGGAGCAAGTGAAATTCAAATACTTTGTCATGCTGCTGCTGCTGTTGTATATAATCCTGACCTACATCCTCTTGCTCAACATGTTGATTGCGCTCATGAATGAGACTGTCACCAATGTCTCTGGTTATAGCAGAAGCATCTGGAAGCTGCAGGTGAGCGTGCTGCGTGGCTAGCTGGGCAAGGCTTCCGGGGGCTCAAATACTGTTTGTAATGAACTGTGTGTTTTTCCCCTGGCTCTGAAGCTTGTACGTGTACAAAGTGCCACGAGAGCACTTACCAAGCAATCCAGATTCCTCTGTATCAGTGACTTGTTATGATCTAACGCAGATGTTTATCCTCAGAGAACTACTGCCATTCTGGAAGTAGAAAAGCACTTTTTGTGGTCCTGGGGAAGGAAGGCGAGATCTGGCTGCTTTGTGTCTGTGGGCCTTAATAAGGAAGATGAGCGATGGTGTTTCAGGTAGGATGGGGCAAGGGGGAGGCTTCCAACACGCCCAGTTCTGTGTCCTCTTCTACAACCGCATGTTGGCATTAGCAGAGGGAGAATCATGACACCAACCTACTTGGTCACAGAACTCTGCGTATTCCTCCCAGACCCATCACCATTGCATCTGGGTGCCAGGTCCTGTGACTAAGTCTCCCTAGGATTACAGCCATAAGCAGTATTATTTTCTCTTTCCCTGCCTCTTTCCCTTGGAATGGGACCATTTGGCCTGTAAGCTCATTGCTGAGTGCAAGTCTCCTGAAATCAGCTTGAGTAGTTTTAGCCCGACACAGCCTGAGTCAGCAGAATTGCCAAACCCACGGCCCCTCTTTGTCTTATTTGTGCTGGTGCCTTTCCTGCCTGAGTCGTGGGCACCTGCAGTTCCATCAAGGGGAGCAATGCTGGAAGCCGTGGGGCAGCCAAGCTTCAGGCATCATTACTGGTGTGTTGTCTGACCCTGCTCTGAGCAGGTAACATTGCTGGCAGCTTGACCTCTGGCAAAGCGCTGCCTGGGCAGTACCAGCGACCCGAACGGCACTAACTTCTGCAGACTTCATTTTTTAATATGCAAATGGTGTTCGAGAATGTTTCTATGACATCAGTGGGCCACAAGATGGCAGCGCTCCTCCTGTGCACAGGACCCTTGGGATAGAGGGACCCGGACTATCCCTTATCCTCCACCGAGCAGGAGCACGCCGGAGTCATAGGAGTTGCATTGTGTGATTCAGTGCGTAAAGAGACCTTTCCCTGTGAGACAAGTCTGGAAAGTCTGTTGTGTTAACGGTGTTTCCTTTGCAGGGGCTAGAGTATTTTTGCTGAAGCACCAGAACTATGCACAATGCAGAGGAAGATACAGAGCTCGTCTATCCTGCAGACCACTCTCAGTTAGCACTCCACCCCTAACCAGGCCTTGTACGGTGCAGTTTCTGCTGCCTCTACAGCCCAGCCCTTAGCTCTGTGCTGATATAGCCAGTGTCCGTCAGAATGAGTATGGCTGGGGTGCCGCAGGTGCAGCCCTGAGGCCAGTTCTGTGGTCGGAACCCGTGTCCCTGTGTGTCGTTGTTGGTGGGACAAGGAAAAACTGTTCGACTTTTTTATGTCTCCAGAGTGGAGGAGCTTAAATGGACTAATTGGAACAAGGAGCTGGGAGTCCTCAAGGAAGATCCTGAGAACTCCAGGAGCTTGGAAAGAAGCCCTGTGGGTAAGTCACACCACGGCTTGTTTGTCTGTGATGGGCCACGCCCCGTATTTGGGAGGATTTACTTCTATCGGAAATACCTCCACCGTAAAGCTCCTACCTCTGAAGCGTCCTGCAGCAGCGGTGCTTTGTTGTGATTTGGCCAGGTCCGATGGTCCGAGTAGGTTTTCACCTTTTCAGTACGTGGATGAGACTAAAATCAAGGCTGTGCATGGCCGGTGAAGTAAGGGCCATTCTTCCTTCCAAGTCAGAACTCAGCCAGTGGCCCAGGGAGTAATGGCTTTAGCAGAAAATGCCTGTCAGACCTCGTGGCGCCTGCAGCCAGAATCAGGGTGGTAACCTTGGCAACCTGATCCCACTCCACCTTGTAATCATGTTGTGCCTCCCTAACCTTCCTCTGGAGTTTCAGGTAGGCCTGATCTTCCTCCTCACTTCCCACCCTGAAAGCCTGTGTGGTTCAGCAGCTCAGCGTGGAAAATGGTGATTTCTCCCTTTCAGGAGAAATATGTTGTTTGCTTAACCTGGGTGGGATCTTCCTTCGAAACTGGACCAGACCTTTGACTCTCTAGCTGTGGTCAGGTTTCCATTGCTGGCATTGAGAGAGCAGGGCCAAGAGGCTTACAGCACTGCTAACCAAGGGCTGCCATTGTTATGTCTGTTATTACAGAAGAGAGACTGTGGAGCTGGATGCTACGGGCAAGATCCAGATCATCTGCTCGGGAGAACCAGTTTCTATTACAACCTATCGATCCATGACTGAGATGATGCCCCTGGAAGGACCAGTCAGGAGGCTGTAACCGGGTTTGGGGTTACAACGTGCCCCATATCTACAACAGAATTATTTCTTGCTATAGGGCCGCTAATAGCCAGATGGAGGAACCTGAAGAACGATCAGTATTAATATGCATCTCAAAAACTGTGGTGCAGCTTGTGGCTTTGAAATATTTTGATGCAAATGAAGTATTTCCTCTGAAAAAGACATTTCTGCCTAGAATTTTCGTGGCACAGTGCTTTAAAAAGTCACGTGCGTGCGTGCGTGCGTGTGTGTGTGGGTGTGGGACAGTGAGATTTGGGCTGTGCATCTTAGAGCCCAGGCGGCTTTGTGATTTGAAATGTCTGCTGAGAGGTACAGATTAAAATATCAGTTGGGCCAAATCATCCCATGATGCTTTTGAGGCAGATGATTCTGTCTGTGTGCTGTTTGCCGTCTGTAGATCTTACAGACGAGACCTTTCTAACCACAGGCTGGCTTTTGATGCCACAGGACCTTTCGTGAGAGGAGGTGTTTGCCCATGGTTTGTGGCCAAAAATGATTTTCCTCTCAGTGTTACCCAGCGTGCAGCACGTACTTGGTTTCCACCCTTCCGCCCCAGGGGTGGTTGCATTGCAGCTGGTCTATGCCTGAACTGCTTTGGGATGAAAGGTGTGATGGAGGAATAAAATATGGTTTGAGTTTCCGACTGACTGCATGAGTTTGTGCAGGATACTGTTTGTTGGTTTGGGGGGGACATGGAAAGCTGCACCATTGAGCTTTGTGCAACAGCCTCTGCTTCAGCAAAGACTGTATCTGTAGGCAGCTGGATGGAATTGGGACCGTCCACGTGAGTCTGACCTGAAGGTGGCAGAACCACTTGAGGAGAATCGGGTGCTTTGATAATATCTCGGCTTACGGACATGTGAATTTCTGATACCTGACTGCTCAGTCTCTTCAAAGGGCAGCACCTGAGCTTTGCATATTGAGCTCACTAGAGCCAGAAGGACGAGTGCAAGCTGCCCTACATTCATCACGTTCAACAACTTCCTGTCTGAGTGGGCTTTCTGCCTTGCCCCACATAGTTACAAAACCAGCATAACTTTGCATGTGCAAGGGTGCTGTAGAATTCTGCTGGAGAGCATGAAAAGATAACGAAGGCTCTGCTTATGACCTATATTAAAAAAAAGTTGTAACTTGGAAAGTTTCCGCGCAGCCCTAGTGCATGAGGTGTGTTTCGCTGGAAGAGTTTGTACCTGGCAACGTTTCCCTAGTCTGAAACCCCAAAGCGTGGAAGGCATGTGGTATGCTCTGAAGTAGGGTTGAAGTGCACGGGCAGAGCTAATGGCCTGTAACACGTCCAGCTCAATTCAAGCCTAGTGGTCCTTTGCTGTCGCGAGTGCTGCTGTACAACGGAGGGTGACCTCGGGCTTGTTCACGCAAGAATCTTCAAGGTCTAAGAACCAGGTCCCGGTTTCTGGTGTGTCTTTGATGAGAGAAAATACTCAGCAGTGATGCCCAAAAAGCAGTTTAATGTTCAATCTGGGGGAAGACCTCTCCCACTGAGACAAAGCAAAACTCTTAGTAAATGGAAAAGGGAAGCAGCTTTTTACTTCTTCTTTCAGGGGTTCAGAGACTTAAGTGTTTCTGCTCTGGTCTAGACTTTTACAAGGCCAAAGTGTTCACGTACCCCAGCCAACCCCACCCCCATCCCAGTCTGCTCTTTGCAGCCTGTTCTCGTTTCTTTTTGTGGGTAGCAAAGGAAGGTTTTGAAACCTGACAAAGCTGAGGGGCTCGGCCCCAAGGCAGACACAGACAGACAACCTTTGAAAAGCCATCGCCGCAGCTACCCGTCTGAATGAGCTGAGAGGCGTTGCGTCTTAACTGACACAGCTGGTAAAGCTTTTTATTTCGGGCTGAGATCAGCACTGTGGTAGCAGAATTGCATGTGCTAGACAAGGGGAAAAGGTGTTGAGAAATTATTGCTCTGGCGTTTTTCTTTCAAATCTACATTTCTGAGAAACCTCTATTTTCTCACAGCAGAGTGACTGATAGCACGACCCGGCCATGCCCAAGCGCGAGTGACACAGGAGTTAACATACGTTTCTCCTTCTCTTCTGCTGGGGTATTCCTCAGGGCAAAATAGGCAGCTGTCTGGGAAACGGGAGTGAGTTAGTGGCTTCTGTGCTGTGAGGCCCTGCATTTGTTGCTGAATGTTCATCAAGCACTTTGGGGATCCTTGGAGTAAGGGATCCTGAGAGGGGCCAGCTGGGGTTTTATGAACCTTGTTTAATGAAAGGGCTGGTGCAAGATGCAGATGCTGGAAGCTAGGGAGAAAACTCTTCCATTTTCCACGAAGGCTGCTTCATCGCCTGCTCTGTTAAAGGATTTCAAATGTAGATGAATGGCTCCAGTGCCTAATAATTGCCTATCTGAGGGGGAGCAGGCTCTCGGGGCATCTGTGATAATAGCACTCCGCTCTACTACTACAAAGTGCTCGGCCAACATGTATACTAAACAGAGCTCATTCTGTGCAGCTGGGCTTCAGTCGCAAAACAAGTGCAAGCAGAAGGCAGCACACAGGTGTGTTTTACAAGCATGGCTGGACCTTTCACTTGCAGATCCAAACACCAGTATCGAAGGATTAGCAAAACAGGTACATTTAGTTCCCAAGAGCTGACCTTTCTGATACTAGCACTGAAGTACAACAAAGCGAGAACAGCAGGGCTGTGGGAGAGAGAGGGGAAATGGGGTCTAAAACAAGTGCTATCTGTAACAAGGTGACATGCTGTTTAAATCCCTGCAGTGAGCACATTCAGATAGGGCACACTGTTCTTTCCAGATGCTTCAGAGGATGACGGCATCTCCGGGTAGGTAGCCTGGGATGTGGAGAAAGATGCAGATACTTCCCTTGGAAGTTTTCAGGCATGTTCCAGGGGGACCTTATGATGATGAGTTTCTGCAGTTGCTGCTAGATAGATAGAGGTACTGCTCAAATATCCTTTCAGTAACTTGCAGCATTTTGTTGAAGTATAATTTCATGAGTAAATCATTGAACCCCAACTAGGAAATCCATATGACACCAAATCAGCTGTCTCTGTGACAAAGCTTCAACAGGCAGTTGAGTCGGTGATCTGCGAGCAGAGTGCAGCTAGATTGTCTGGTGGGAACTCCAGTCCTGCACCCTTCACCTTAAAGCCACGATTGAAAAGATGAAGTCCCTCCTGTCCCTTCTCTCTTTAATAAGTAAGTGAGCATTATTTCTCTCCCCTCCCCCTTAAAGTAGAAAAGAAAAGCCATGCACTGATTCTGAGCACTCCTGGTTCTCACTCAGTGTGGCTGAGTACGTACTTTATACGTGCAGCGTTGATGTTAAGAGCCACAGCATTTGCCGTTTGTTTTTAGGTATCTTCAGGGTTTGGGGATTTGTCATGGGTGCCCTGTATACAAGTCCTTGCTTCAAGACTTGTCATTCCAGTGTTTCAGCAAAATTAGCCAATGTGATTTCTGCAGCTTCTCTTAGTGGGTGACAGTTCTTGCCATTTTATGGGAAAAGTAAATGCTGGTAGTATCCACAGGGCTCGGCCACTATAAATGGGACAGCTGCTCAAATGCCTGATTAATGAGGGTCATATAAGTTCCTCAGCAGACAGACAGGCAGACAGATGCCCTGCACTGCTATGTATAATGAGGCAGCCGAGGCTATGTCTGGGTCAATTTTGCTTTCAAATTGCACCAGCAAAAATCGACATTGAGTTAGTGGAGTGTCTCTCTGCTTGTATGGCCGTTAACTAAGAGAAGTCTAAGTTCATGAAATCTTTGTCTTTATGTTCATGAAATCCCCCTGTTTTCCTACCCTTTCTGATTCATCCTGGGCCAGTCAGTGAAGACTTTCAGCAGTTTGTTGCCCACAGGGTTTGGCCTATTAAGTACGCTAAAATATTCAGGACAAAAGGAGAACTTTTTTTCTCTCAGTCCTTTTGTTTGGAAAATGCAGTAAATGTAAAATAAGATGCAGACTGGAATTAGGGAAGTGACTTCTAAATCCTGGACATGGGACGATAAATATAAACGAAGACAAGAAGTGGTTTAAAAATCTGTTTTTTATAGAATTTTGACAAAAGGTCAGGATTTCAGAGACTATAAAACCTGACGTGTTATTGAGAGAGCTGGAAAGCCCATGTTCATCTTGGAGTCAATGACTCCAAGATCCCTTTCTGCCTCCGTGCTCTCAAGAAGGGGGTTTCCCATCTTATAAGTGTGCTGCTGGTTACTACTGCCCAAGTGCAGCACCCTGCATTTGTCAGTATTGAAACGCGTCCTGTGTTTGTTAGCCCACCCCTGCAACCTATCCAGGTCTTGCTGCAGTCTTTCCCTCCCTACTAGCGTGCTCACCTCCCCTCAAATTTTGGTATCATCAGCAAATTTAAACAGGTTGCATTTCACCTCGTCGTCCAAATCGCTGATAAAGAGATTGAACAGCGCGGGCCCCAGGACTGAGCCCTGGTGGACTCCAC